AAGGTATAGTTCTGAGGCCATAGGTCACCATCAGCCATCAGATTGAAGCTTACCACAGCATCAGGAAAGAGATCTGGTAGGTAGGCGGCAAAGACATGCCTTTGATCATGCTCATCTAAATGTGGTACTTCAAAGTTATCAGCGGCAATCACTCCCTCAATGGTATTATCATCTTTATGTGAGCTATACTTAACATAAATGGACTTGATACTTGTTGATGTGTGGACGTTGACGAACATACTATTAGACAAGTTTTGAGCAGCGGTAAGATAGACATGACAAGGAGTTCGTTGACCATTTGGGCATGGTCTACGACCAAAAGAACGGAATAGTCTCGATGACCAGAATAATGTCCCTTCAAGAGGTATCCACCAACCAGGTGCTTGTGGATTATACACAGCAACACAGGAACCAGCTGATAGATAGGTTAGCAATATTCCAATACCAAGAGTTAATATCTCCGCTACATAGAACTTATAATTCCTGAACAAACTACGAATAGATCGTCTTCTAAACCCGAAGGTATGGGCAACCTTAATCATTAATGGTACTGATGCTGCTATACCAACCAACCATACAAGTTTAGTATAACTCCACATCGTAGGGATTTGTATAGTATACCAACATTGTAGTGCTACTAAATACCCCAATACACCAAGAGACCATCTACAACAAGATGATGCTTTATTACGGATCAAGATTATCAATAAGGTGTAGATGATGTATACTACTAGAGCGACAACATAGAAAATCCATGCATGCAAATCACCGAAGATGAATGCACCAAGTAGAACATATGCTACTAGTATCACAAGACATAACCAAGCATTGATAACTACCACTAATGCTGACCATGCCCAATAATATTTCGATCGATTGGGTCGAAGTTGGTCTTTAGGAAGTGGTGGTGTGGTTTCCAAGACGTAGCGACGATTAACAAAGTATATAGCAGAATAGGATAAAATGCTTAATAGTAGACTACATGCTATCATAGTAGACGTAATAAGGATCAAGAAGCCTCTGTAGGTATACTTACTACCACCGAGACCAAATACCTCATAGAATACCATTATGATGCATAAACTAACAATAAATAACATTGATGATTAGCCCTAGTGTAGGGGTGTACCCCATTGCACTACAGCCAACGTGACACGGTATACATTCCCTTTAGTATGCTAGCAGGATTATCACCACGCGGGAGACGCACAATGAGCGAGATGTTCTAGCTGGGAGTCGAACCTCCGCGGCAAACGGTATATCGGGTACGGCAGCGGAGCGAAGCTCAAATACAGCGCAAGGCTCGGGAAAGGCAGTAGTTTTGAAGAGCTATGAATCGGCAAACGTCTGATATGCTGTTCCATCACAGTTCTTGGAGTACTGGTACAAGAGAAACAGGTGGAAGGAGAATGAGAGCAGCAAGTATGGGTGATAGTAATAACAATATGGGAGGGGGCTTATTCTAAGCATAATATTAGGTCTACCATCACCTGATAATCATTTATCGATGGACTTCCCTCATACCTTTTATGGTCATTATGAGGATATAGGTCCTAAGGATAGGATGGAGGATGCTCCTATGTTACATGAATTCCAGGACCATAGTGGGGGTAATATGTTACTCTTCGGGTGAGTGATAATGATGATATTGTTGTTGTTGTTGTTAAGGTATATTTGGTGTTTTTGATGGACATGGTGGTCCAGGAGCTGCTAATTTCGCAAGGGATAATATATATAAGTTCATAATAAATGGACTAGAAAAAGAAGAGGATCGAGTTGATGCCTTCATTGATGGGTACTACTACACTTACTAAGTGGTAGTACATGATATTAGGTACAAGAGGACCGAGGAAGCATTGTCACAGTATTTAAAAGAAGATGAGTTCCCTGTACTCAAGGCTAAATATGATATCGATGATAATTATGAGGAACTGGTATGTCTCTGTAGGAGTGCTGTACAACATCAAACGTGTTTAGGATAAGGATTATCCAGTGTTATCCTCTGGTACTACTGCTTGTGTATGTATGTTGGATGCCTCTCGGAAACCTGCTACATTAACTGTAGCCAATCTTGGTGATTGTAAAGCAGTATTGAATAGAGGGGGCAAGGTAGTACTAATATACTACAACTGCATATAGTAATGATCTAATACATGTAGGCGATATGTTTGACAAACTGTCATAATCTTAAAGACCCATTACCAGAGGAGAGGGAACGAGTGATGCCTTACTTCAACAATGGGGTTTTGGGAGACTACCTCTTTGGGATAGCAGTACTACTAACGCGTCTATTATTACTACTCTTCATGCTACTCTCATGATTATTAGGTCACACGATCACTCGGTGACTTGGTTGTGGCGACAGGTGAAAAGAATGAGGGATTGCTGAGCATACCAGAGGTTGTAGAGGTAGACGTGGAACCAGTAGATAGGTTCCTAATCATAGCCAGTGATGGTATATTCGAAGTTATGGATCCCCAGACTGCGGTAGAGACGGTAAGCATGAAGACTATAATGTGTTATGATGGTTCATTGATCCTAGTAGGTACGATTACATCTACTAGGTAGGAGATCTACACCAGGATCAGCAGCGTATACGTTGGTAAAGCAAGCATTGGCTAGAGGAACTGTGGATAATGTCTGTGCTATTGTTGTTATGTTACATGATTATCGATTTGGCTTGAAAGCATTGCTCACTGGTGGTATTAAGAATGAGCATTTGCATGGTACAGGTGATGAGGATGACTATGATGATGATA